TAGATGTCAAATCTATCACCAAGGCTGACTACAAATTATTTAAAAAAAATGCGCCAAAATCAAATGTTTATATAAAACATAATGTGTGGGTCCAAATTATTTACTTCGTGCTTCATTAATATGAATTATAACACTCAACATGTCGTGTGGCTCTTATTCCGAAATCATTAAACTCTTCCAACTAAGAATGATCAATTTCCATCTGTAGGAAAAATTGTAAGAAAATATATGAGTTGATAATTCAGTGAGTGAAATAGTTCAAAAATAATTATATGTTTTCAATTTTACATTTTTTATCGAAAATGGAGTTCATATCATTTAATAATTCACAAGATAACATCATGTAATTATAAGCAAAAGTGAAATATTCACATAATGTCGTAAAATATCATCTCAAAAACCATACTATAATCTCATCACATCAAACGTACTAAAAATTCACAAAAAATGTACCCTCTAACTGAAATATATAATCCACCTCTCGGGTTAAGAACTTCCGCCACGAGCCTTTGGCCCCCTTCGTGAACGAAAGCCGATCTCAAAAACCTTTCATAATCAATTCTAGAACACGGTCAAGGCCCCTCGGTGAACTATATGTACATGGTCGAGACCCCTTCATCCTCGATCCAAGACCCCCTCAATGTAGTATAGAACACGGCCAAAACCCCTTAGTGAACTAGAAGAAATATATAATCACGGGTACGTTTCTGGTCGATCTCAAAATCACATCTTATATTCCAATTCACAATGTACTGTATACAATCTTTGAAATCCCACATGTATCATCATAAAAGATATTTCCATAATAACCATGTAATTCGAACACATAATTGCATATAATTGCACATACTTTAACAATATACTTAATTTATAAATATTTTAAAAATATTTATATTTTCCACTCATAGTATTATGTTCGCAAAATCTACTCGGTTGGTAAACTGTCCTGATGTCAGTATCGTCGCCTAAAATGCGATATAATTTTTAAATAAACAATTAATTATTTTAAATAATTTCATTAATTAAATAGGTGATACTCAAATTTAATCATTTCACATTTAGGTGATTTTTAAAGTCTCTTTAATCACTAAAACTAGTTTTTCTTTCATCTTACTCAATTTCATAATTTATTATACTTAACCCCTTCAATAAAATTGAATTTAATCTAACAATCTAATAATTATAAAATCAAACATAACTTTTCTATAAGTAACTTTTTACTTACCTTTCAAAATTGAGAAATCCAAGCCTAATAGAATAGAGCACTTAATTCCTAACATGTTGGCAAATTTGCCCCCCCCCCCTTCTTTTTCCTTCCTTTTTTCACTTTTTTTTTTCTTTTTTTCCTTTCTCTTTTTCTCTCTTCTTCTTCTCTGCACCGGTGTTTTTTTTTTTTTTTTTTTTTAGCTTTTACACCCTCTCTCACATCAAGTTTGTTCAAAATAGAATCAATTTTCTCCACGTAAATTGTGTCTTTCAAGTCAGAATTCTTTGAAATTTCTTCAACCGTGGGTGAACTTAAACTGCAGTCCCTTCTACATTTATCTTGAACTTTTTGCCTCCTAAGATTTTCAGTCCATAAACTTCAACTTTCTGCTTGGGGCTGAGATGAAGAAAGACGGAGAAATCAGCAAGACCTTGAAGTTCATCCAGGCTACCTTCTGTGCATTAGTATCAGACTTTCTTGTCATTTCTCATAGATCTTTTATTACCGTCAACTTCCTCGTGTAGGTATCATCCATCAATAGCGTGTGCTCTATTAAATCATATAACTCATTTTTCATGCCCTTTTTCTGCAAGGTCCTTCTACTCGGAATTTCTGCCCTGCTCAAGATTCGCCTCTTGATTGCTTATTAAGTCTCCAGTTTCAGAAACCTAAGACTAACATGATTTAGAATGTGGAAAACTTCTTTGACGCAGTTCTGGTACAGTGTTCCCAAAAGCACCATGGGCGTAACATTAGTCCCCTAAGTATGAGCTGTACATTTATGTGTGCATCGGACTAAAAAGAAAAGTAAAAGGGTTAGAAGTCTGGGAGATCACCTTTGATATGATACTCATTAGAAATATAAATTGTCTTCAATTAGTCGATAGCTCTGAAATTGATGACAATAAAAAATTGAAGAAGGCTTACGAGCTGCCTCAAAAATATATATCGACCTCAAATAGGTGATATACTTGCATATTGTGAATATCTTCCGAGATATGAATCATCCTAAAAAGGCAAGGACTTAGTCGCCTAAGTACTTGTAACCTGCCTTTAAAATGTAACAAGGACATGAAGCCTTTGAAATATGTCAATCTCTAATAGTTCGCTAAAATCATTAGAAAAAAATGCGTGCAAGCTTATATTGTGTATGAGATGATAAAAAATGAAGACATAGCACGTGTCATTACAAGTTATATGCTAATAATAGACCAAGGTATCAGAATAGCATCATTATCCCAAATTCAAGCCGAATATTTATGTAGGTTATGGACTACAAAAATTAGTAACAAGAATCCTCCAAGTCCAAGTCTGTATATTTATTTGGGGTCGGACTCTGCAAACAGGTAGAGATAATGCAAATATTGTGACTCTCATAATGGTTAGTGAGTCGGTTTTTCACTGAATTTTTTACTCTCCTCATTTAATCTTCGACTAGGCAGCTCACAAAGGTTAGTGGAAGCACCTTATGCAAGGCGCATGGCTATCTGGACAAGGTGACTTAAGTTTGCTTTAATGGGTTAACAGTAGGCGGTATTTGTAAGGTACATGGCTTCCCCAGTAGGTGAATATTTCAAGGAGTTCATTCCTGCAAGTTAATGGCAGCGGCCCTTGTAAAGTACTCTGCTCCCTTGCAGGAATAACTCATAAGCTATCCCCATAGAGTTTACGACAGGTGGTCCCATAAGGTAGTCAGTTCCTTCTCCGAGGGGTGGTAAGCTCAATATATCATCGGGAAAATCGAGGAACATAAAATATGATTATCTCGAGTATCGAGGCACGTGTAGTACGACCATCTCACGTACCAAGGCACATATATTATAATCATCCCAAAATAAAAGAATCACTAGCAAGAATTCGCCTTCAACAATAGAAAAATCACTAGCTAGCCTTGATGCGGAAGGATTTACATACTCGTCTTCAATAACAAGAAACCATGAGCTAGCCTTGATATGTGAGGATTTACATACTTGTCTTCAATTACTAGAAAGCCATAAGCTAGCCCTGAGGTGCTAGAGCTTACGAGGTCGTGTTCAATAATGGGAAGTGTTGAGTAGCTATAGCCGGCCTTGGAAATAGTAGAACTACGAGCTAGCCTGGGTACGCTCGTCTTTGATAATAGGAGGCTTTATGCGCTTCCCTTAAATGAGCAAGGATTTAGAGCTTGCCTCATTAATAATACGGAAAATTACAAGAGGGACTCACTAATGAGAAGCCTTAGTGCTTGCCTTGAATGAGCGAGGACTCAAGAGCAAGCCTTGGAGAATAGTAGAACTACTAGCCAACCTAGATATACGAGGACTTGAGCACTCGCCTTTGATGATAGGAGGCCTTACAAGCTTGCCTCGGATGAGAGAGGACCAAGAGAAGGAAATTATGAGTGGGGGCTTGCCTCCAATAATGGGAAGCCTTACGTCCTTGCCTCGGACAATTGAGAACTTGGAGCGGGTCTCGGGAACTAGAGCTAACCTCAAATTTATGAGAAATTATGCACTCGCTTTCGACAATAGGATGTCTTATGCACTTACCTTGAACAAGGATTTAGAGCTTGCCTAAATAATAAGAAAATTATGAATCATGGCTCGTCTTAAGCAACTGGTATACATGAGTAAGGGCTTTTAGCTTGGCTAGGATGGGCAAAAACTTGGAGCTTGCCTCGATTATAACAAACCTAAGAGTGTAGGCTCATCTTTAGTAATGGGAGGATTTAAGAGTTGGCCTTAAGAGGAACTATGGATTATAGCTTGTCTCAATAATTGAGAAATTACGAGGTAGAGACTCGCCTCCAATAAAGGGCGAACCACTAGCTAGGACTCACCTTTGTTAATTGGAGGTCTTATGAGATGGCCTCGAATGTGCGAGGCCTATAGCTTGACTCAAATAAAATCGATAGGGGCTTTGAACCAAGGGAAAACCATTTATTAGCATACTCCATCATGCTGAATTTCTGTTTCCCAAGCCACTTTTGTCCTTAGAGGAACTATGGATTAAAACATGGAAACCATCGACCTTTGGTAGACCTCATTAAAATATGCTATTGAACACGGTTAATCTCCAAGCATGCCACATTCAATTGGCCTGATTAGAATATGTTATTCAATCGGTTGATCACCAAGTGGTTCAAATTAAATATCCTATTAATCCAATTAATTTCCAGTTAAGTCGTGTAAAGGTATCAACTATCAGATTGAATTTCACTTGGAAATCCTGCATCCTTAATAGATAACTCATGTGAAGATATCGCCATTTCAGCCACAACATATTCGCCGCCGACATTGCATCTGGTAATCAAGTTTCGTGTACTGTTCGTTTCTAGCACTTCATGTTCTATTGCTCGGTAAAAAAAATTCTTACTTTATAACCATGCATATAACAAAAGTCAATATTTCAAAACTCATTAAAATGGGCTAAGTTATAAAATAAATGGCTTTTATAATTAAATTTATATTTTCTTTTTAAATTAACATCTAATATAAACATTTTTTACTTAACAGTGACAGAAAAAATAATAATACGCTTAGAAAAAGGAAAGTTAATTAAAAGAAACTTTTAATTTGTTTATACCTAGCCAAACATGTCTCTACTCTCCTGTGATACTGTAATAAATTGCCAGCCCATACTAGCATTAATTG